AAAAAAAAACTGCTTCTATAAAAATGGGTATGTGCATATTGCTGTGCTATGACACTTTTACTTCTTTCAGGAAGATTTCAAAAACAGGAAGAGTAGGATCAAATGAAACCTCTAGTTTTATGATTTGATAAATCTCCATACTGATTCCACAGCTGTTCCACCACTCTACCCATGAAAAAGGATTTCCATTTTCCCACAGCCCATCAGCATTTGTATTTGGTTGATTTCTTTTTCTTTCTTTTTTTGCAGAACCGGAGATTGAACTCAGGCCCTTGCGCTTGCCAGGGAAGCGCTTATTCCACTGAGCCATCTCCCCAGCCGCTTGCTTGATTTCTTGATAATAGCCATTCTTCCTGGAGTTGTTTTAATTTGCACTTCTCAAATAACCAATAATGTTGAACATCTTTTTATATATTTATTTGCTGCTTATACATCTTCATCTGAGAAGTGTGTATTCATTACAGATGCTATTTTAAGATGGGGACTTTAAATGTGTGTGAGGAGGCTGGTCTGAATTTTGTGAGTTCTTAATATATTCTGGATATTAGCCCTTGGTTTGATACATGGCTGGCAACAACTATTTCTCAAATTGTGGGTTGTCTCTTCACTCTGTATGCAGCTTCCTTTGCTGTGTAAAAGCTTTTGGCTAAAATGAGATCCCAGTTGTTGATTCTTTGTAATATTTCTTATGTAATTAGAGTTTTATTCATAAAGTCTTTGCCTACACTTATGTCTAGGGTTTTATGTATTCTCCTTCCAGCAGATTTAGTGTTTATGCTTTAATAATTATGTCTTTGATCCATTTTAAATGTTTATGACATGGTGAAAGACATGTATTCCTTTTAATCTTTGGCATCTAGAGAGCCAATTTTACCAGCACCATTTATTAAGGATGTTATCTTTCTTCCAGTGAAGGTGTTTGGTCCCTTTGTCAAAGATAAGGAGATTAAGTGTGTTTGGAGTTATTTCTGTATTTTCTAATCTGCTTCATTAGTCCTTGGACCTGTTGTTTTTTTGGTCAGTACTATGCTATTTATATCA